TCACACCGCACCCAAAATTACATGCTTTGCAGTTTAAAGTGACACACACTTAAACTTACTATCATAGTTTATATATATATTTTTTACCCAAACAACCTATGTTATTCCTAACACTTGCCTTTTTTAAAAAAAGAAAATATTTAAAACATTAAAAATCAAAAACAGTTCTAAGAGGTTTTTTTAAAACATGTTTTTTCATGATTTTTTTTAAAAGTGTGAAATTGACAACATTTTTGCCAATTTCCCTTTCCAGACCAAGTGGGTATAATTTTTTTAAAAGAGAGTTTCATTGGTAGACATGAAACTAGACCTTCTTCCCTTTCTTTTTGTGAAATTGACAGGGCTTCTACCTCTTTCTCTCCCTAACTAAATGACAGGAGAATGCTCAAATAGCATTCGCGATAGCAGTTAGACTTATATGCCGCTTTACAGCCCTCTCCAAGCAGTTTACAGAATCAGCCTCTTGCCACCAACAAACTGGATTACCCACCTTGGAAGGATGGAAGGCAGAGTCAACCTGGAGCCTAGTGAAAATTGAACTGCCAAATTGCAGTCAGCAGAAATAGCCTGCAGTACTGCATTCTAACCACTGCACCACCTCTGCTCTTTCTAATTCTTTTTCTTTTCCTCTGGTCTATGCTAGATAAAAAAAGGGAATCATCAATAAAAATAATAGAAAATGTCTGTCAATGGAAACCCCATTTCCTCAACCTGCCCATTGAAAGGAAAGTGACTGGGTTTTTTTTCTCTTTTTGAGGGGCCCAAATGGCACACAAAAGAGAAAAAAGAGCGTTCACCAACTGGAGACCTTGATTAGCACACCTCAGACAGAACACCAAACCACTGCTGGGGTTGAACTGAGAAGAAGAAGAGAAGAAGAACTTTATTGTCATTGTACAACAAAACTGTGGATGCACCCCAGCAACTGTTCGCAATACAATGAAACCAAAGCACTTAAAAATGAAGATAAGAAAAATAGAGTACCCACGTCTCCATTTGCAATTTGAGAGTACAATATCTACGAATATACACAAAATATACATCCAACACTGACTGCAACGCTTAGCCGAGTATAATGCACAAGAGATGGATTGTACTGTAATATGTTATTATACATCTGAATGGGGTATTGAGATTTCACATCTTTTCACACCTTAATAAGGTAGTGGCTTTGTGTTTATTTGCGGTTCGGATGGCCCAGGGAAAGAAACTATTTGTTAGTCTAGTGGTGTGGGATTTTATTGACCTAAAACGCCATCCAGACGGCAGCAGGTCAAAAAGATAATTGCCAGGATGTGAGGGGTCTTCTATGATGGCCTTGATTCTGCTTTGGCAGCAGGACCTGGCTAAGTCTTCCAGGGAGGGCAGAGGGCAACCAATGATCTTTTCAGCTGTGTTTATCACCCTCTGTACAGTTTTCCTGTCCTCAGCTGCATATCACGCACCCAGACAGTATGTCAGAGTGCTCTCCACAGAGGCTTTATATAAAGCCAGCAACAGCTTCTTATCCAGATTGTTCTTCCTGAGAACCCGCAGGAAGTGCAGCCGCTGCTGTGCCTTCTTCACTATGGCCTTGGTATTAGGGAACCAGGAGATATCAGCTGAAATATGGATGCCAAGGAATCTGATCGTAGGGACAGTTTCCACTCATTCTCCGTTGATGATGAGTGGGGTGTGGTCTTGTCCATGTTTCCTGAAGTCCATAATAAGTTCTTTGGTTTTTTGGACATTCAGTGACAGATTGTTCTGTGAACACCAGATAGACAGGTTCTCTACTTCTGCCCTATATGCCGTCTCATCCTCTCCGGAGATGAGACCAATCACAGTTGTGTCGTCCGCAAACTTTATGATGGTGTTTGTTGCGTGGCTTGGTGAGCGGTCAGAGGTGTACAAGGCATATAGCAGGGGGCTCAAGACACAACCCTGAGGGGAACCAGTACTGGGTGTAATAGTGGAAGAAAGGTGAGGGCCAAGTCTAACAGACAGTGGTCTGTTTGTCAAAAACTTCTTAATCCAGGAGCATGTGCGGATGGGAACCTGCAGATTATACAGTTTGGTTACTAGTATATCTGGGATGATGGTGTTAAACGCAGAGCTGTTGTCCACAAAGAGCATCCTCACATAGCTCTGTTTGTTCTCCAGATGACTCAGCGCTCTATGAAGTGTGATGGCCACAGCATCCTCTGTAGATCGGTTTGCTCTATAAGCAAACTGATGTTGATCAAAGGAGGGTGGGAGGCAGCCTCTGATGTGCTGTGAAACTAGTTGCTCAAAAACCTTCATAATGGAGCTTGTTAACGCTATGGGCCTGTAGTCATTGAGAGTGTTTATATTTGTTTTTTGGGGGGACAGGAATGATGGTTGCAGCCTTCAGGCATTGTGGGATGATGGCATGTGTTAAAGATAGATTGAACAACTCTGTAAGTATTTCTGCCAACTGGTCAACACACGCTTTAACTACTGCACCAGGAATGCCATCAGGCCCAGCAGCTTTCCTGGGATTTACTGCTCTCAGTGTTTTTCTCACCTCATGCACCTGAAGAGAAAGAGGTGCAGTGTCGTGGTCCTCGTGAGGCAGTATGTCCAGGTTCTTGGTGGTCTCAAAGTGTGCGAAAAAGCTGTTTAGCTCCTCTGCCAGAGTGCTCCTGCTCTCGCTGTTTGTTGGGCCCTGGCCTTTACAGTTGGTCAGGGCCTGTATCCCCCTCCACATCTGCCATGGGCCACTGTCAGTAAAATAGCCCTTGACCTTCCTCCTTAGCATGTTTGATGCCCCTTCTCAGCTCAGCTCTGGCAGTGCTTTACTGTGAGGTGTCACCTGCTCTGAAAGCCAGGTCACAGGCCCTGATCAGAGTCTGGACTTCTCTGGTCATCCAGGGTTTCCTGTTTGGGAAGGTCTGTATGTCCACAGTGACATTTTCTACACAGGTCTTCATGTAGAAAAGCACAGTCTCTGTGTATAACTCGAAGTCCTGTTGTTTGAAGATGCTCCAATCTGTGTGGGCAAAACAATTCTGAAGCTGGAGGAAGGGGCTGAGTCTTAGAAAGGGGTTTCTCAAAATTACTTCACTTGCAACAAATTTATGTATGGTGTGAAAGTGCTAAAGGTTGCAGTGGCCTTATATCTCAGCTGCAGGCCATTCTTCCTGCATGCATATGGCCTTTCCTAATTCCTATAATGTCAGAGAAAGGACCCCAGGGTGCAAACCTGCAGTCCCAACAGATCAGATGGCAGATAAAGTGATCCGATTCAGAACATGCATGTATTCTGTCAATATTGTGGCACAAAGATGGATGTGGTAGCAGGTGCAAAATTATTTTGATGTCCCCAGCAATGGTGGGATTCACATTTTTTTTTACTACTGGTTCTGTGGGCCGGCTTGGTGGGAGTGACAGGGGAAGGATACTGTAAAATCTCCAGTCAGAGGTGGTATTTGCCGGTTCTCTGAACTACTGAAAATTTCCACTACTGGTTCTCCAGAACTGGTCAGAACCTGCTGAATACCACCTCTGGTTCCCAGATAATTTCATCCCTCCTTTGTTTCAGTTTGAAAGTTCACTAGTTTTGGTCCCAATACTTTTTATTCTTCCTAATAACCTCCTTGCCTTTCTTGGAGTGTGTATACTACCCCCAAAATATGAAACTTTTTCTTTATATGCACTTTCAAGTTCAGTCATTTGAAGTGGATTTGGGGAAATCTTGAGAGTCAGGTCTATACGGACACAAAGAGGACTAGGCTAGTATGCTAAAACTTGTAACCTGCCTCTCTCCACCACCAAATATTTACCTATGAAAGATGCTTTAATTTACATTCCCATACTGAGCAGGAGGTTGGCTTTGGTAGCCTAAATTCCCTTTCCAAGGCTATGAGTTTCCAAGGCTATGGGTTTCCAAGGATATTCCCTTTCCAAAGCTATGGGTTTATGAGTAAATTCTCTCCCAAATTCTCTCCCAAGTGTCCATACAGTTTTTGTCCATTCAGGTGAACATATCAGATTAGATCTGCACAATTTGGGCATCTAGAAGAGCCAGCCTCCCAGGTGCAGGAAGAGAGTTCCTCCCCAACCTCCCCATATATCCAGAGTCCTCCAATCCATTGTACTGAGTATATGAAGATTTGGAAAAGGGACCCTGTGTGTGATCTAACCTCTTGTTCACTTGAATAATGGCATCTACTTCACATGCATTGGGATTCTATCACTCAAAGTGGACAATGGGGTTGAAATGACTCAGCCTTTTCAAAAAAAGGCAGCTTTGCGGATGGATCCGCAGCCAGGATTATTCTATGCTTCTCTCTTTGAAATGCAACCCGAAGAGCCGAATTTAAGAGTATTAGGGAAGAACGTTTAAAGGTCTTGTGGCAAAAAGCCACGATCGGGAGCAAAGCAGAGCTTGCTTTCCTTCCCAAAACACAACTTTTCAGGTGCTAGAATGCAGGCAAGAAGCACGCCCAGACCCCGACCAGGTTGCATTGGGATGCAAATGAGCTGGAGCGCGTGCTCCTCGCAAGGAAGAGGGATTGTTTATGGAACCTCCGCCAGAGCCACGCGCCGGGCGTACGAAGTTGCCAAGCGAGCTTCCCATTGGGTGGGAGGCGGCTAGGGAGCCAAGCGGGCGGCGGGGATTTTGTGTGTGAGTGTGTGTTTGTGTGTGGGGCGCACGGCGCGTCGCGTGCTGCTCCCGGGGGCCCGCGAGCGGCGCAAGCAGCAGCGCGTGTTGATAAGGGGCCGGAGCAGCGAGGACCTCGCAGCAGAGGCGCCTTGACAGAGCGCAAGGAACAAGCCTGCAAGGAAGGAGAAAAGAACCCGCGTTTCTTCGAAGCGCAGCTAGGAGTCCTTGCGCAGGTTGCGCGTTCAACTTTAACATCTTAAGAAGCAGAGTACCCATTTTTCAATTCTTTTTTATTTTTATTTTTTTTACGGCCACTGATTTTGGGCAGCAAAATCGGGCTTTTCGCAAACTGCATCTACCCGAAGACCAACACCGGGGTAAATGCCCCAAGATGAACAGCGGGGCTCTAGGAACAACCATGCAACCAACAGCCCACGCGGTTTGCAAAAGTTACTCGCTGCACGGTTACAACAGCAGCGGCGGCGGCGGATCTTTGGGGATCAAGGTGCAAGCAGGACAGAGCGCGGGTTCCTCTTCATCCGGGATGCCCCAACCGTGGGGTGCTGCCACGGGCTGTCCCGGCCAGGTTCTGCAGTCCAACTCGGCCACGCGCTGCAAAGGCTCCAAGCGGCGCTCCAGCTCGCCGGAGCTGCTGCGCTGCAAGAGGCGCTTAGCCTTCCCGGGTTTGACAGCCCAGCAAAGCGGCGGCAGCGGCGGCGCGGCCGCTGTGGCTCGGCGCAATGAGCGGGAGAGGAACCGCGTCAAGCTGGTGAACCTGGGCTTCCAGACCTTGCGCCAGCATGTGCCCAACGGCGCCGCCGCCAAGAAGATGAGCAAAGTGGAGACCCTCCGCTCCGCCGTGGAATACATCCGAGCCTTGCAACAGTTGTTGGACGAGCACGACGCCGTCAGCGCCGCCTTCCAGGACGGTCTCCTGCCGGCCGGCCGTGACGCTGCCTCCGCTGCTTGCGCTGGCAGCGGCAGCAGCTCGTATTCCTCCACTTCGCCCTCTTTTGACGGCCGCGAGGGCAGTTCTGTGCCGGGCTCTCCGCACTCGGCTTATTCGTCGGACGAGAGTGGCTACGAGGGGGCGCTCAGCCCGGAGGAACAAGAGCTACTCGATTTCACCAGTTGGTTCGGGAGCTGCTGAGCTGGAATGGTAAGGCGCCGGCCAGCTGATTTCTGAGGAAGCGCGCTAGGATTGCGCTTATTTCTTTATTTATTTTGGACCTTCCTAGAACCTTCCTCCTGCATTATAGTTTTATATCCCATTGCAAAACTTTTTTTTGGGGGGGGGGGGGGGGAAGAGCGGGGAATTCCATGGAAGCACGTAATGCATTCTGGTTAATTAAAAAGAGAGAGAGAGAGCCAAGGTGATCTAAGCTTCCTTTGGGGCTGGGTTTTTGGGATGGCGTTGCGCGCGCGAGACCCACCCGGGCAGATGCAATTGAAAGGGAGCGTCGCCGATTTGAAAACCACAAACGCTGATGAGAATTCTGCTCGGCCAAGATTTAGGAATAGCATCCGGCTAGTCCCAGACAAGAGTGCTAATATGTCTCTTGAACGTCTCTGCAAATACTTGGCTCCCCTGCAAGCACCTCTCGTCCCAACTTTGCAAAACGAAAGTCCTTTCGAATGCAAAAAGGTTACTGGGTCAGCGGGCTTAGAGAACAGGAGAGCTCATGACTCTGTTAGGTTGGAGTGTTCTTCTATTTCTGAGGGTTGAAGTGGGGGGAGGCCACAATGTGTAAAATGGCTTTAACGTTGCATCTAATGGATGACATCAATTTTGTTCTTGATGATCTCAAGTAAAATATTGCACAGTCTGAAACAGCTTTGCATTCTGAGTTTCCAGTGGCAAACTTTTTGTTCACCGATGTTTCCTGGTGGAAAAAAACAACATGGATAACAATCAGTACTTAATATTTACAAACCAACCTTGACATAGAACGTTGAGGGATTAAGCAATCGAGTAGGCAAGGCCCATGAGTTTCTTTGGGATTTTGTTCATTTGGTTGGGACTTAGGCAAGAGGAAATTTTCATCAGAATGCTGCTATTGTTTCCCCTTTCTATCCTCTGAAAGAAAGCAGAAGGAAGGTAGATTTATAGACCTGGTCTCCCTATAGAAATAGGGGTAGATACTGAGACGACATATGGACAAACAGTACTTGGAATGTGTAGGCATGCGGGACAATAAATTTCTTTAGCAGAGGTTGATAGTTGGGCACAATGCTCCCATTAGTCTGGCTTTGGGATCAGGAAGGAAAGCCTTGGGCAGCTCTTTGGATCTTTTCTGTCAGTCACATGTTCCTAATGGCTTTTCTGTTTTCTTTTCTAGCAATACTGAAAAAGCAACACTGTAGAACCTCAGTACCTCATTGTCCCAGGCTCCTATGCAGCAGAAGAGCACCAGGAATGTCCTGATTTAACATCCACCTACTCTCTTCAAGCCTCATTGCAAAGGATGTTGGACAGTCAGATCTTTCTAACCACAATCTCTGGGTGTTTGTTTATGAAACAAAAGACTGGTGGTTTTGATTCTTTTTTTTAAAAAAGTGCAATTATGTAAATACATTCTAAGGGCCATAGTTTTTATCTGCTGTTGTACAGCAGTTTATGGTACCCTCTTGACTCTTGAACGACCAATGAAAAGGCTTCTCTGAATCTAGTGGCAGCTGGAGATCTGTTGGGCTTCCAACATAATGTCTGTCGACTTTATAAGGGCAGGGGTGAAATAATTAAAACTTGATGCTTCCTTTTTCTGAATGGGAAGGAGACTGTTTGAACGTCAGAAGTAGACTTTATTTGTGTAACTTGAGCTGCCTATGGGAACAAATATGAAGATTAATTTTTGTGCAAGTCTCCTTAATGCAAGAGGAAAGATTTATAGAAAATTGCTTATTAACCCTATCAGCTAGAAAGTTTGAGAACTTACCCAATCTAGACAAATTTCTTAACATTTTGTACTAAGGAAGCATAGAGCTGTTTATCTTAAATGTGTTGAGGATTTTGTTCGCTTGTTTATTTTGGGTCTGGTGTGAAGGTTCATTTATCTAAAAAAACAGAAAAAACTGAAGTTTTATTTTTAATGTATTGAAGGTATTTTTGTATGCACTTGCTAGATTTATTGACTTGCATATATGCAGTTTTTAAAGAGTATCCTATTTTATGTAAATCAACTTTATAAATAAAATCTATTTATAATAGCTTCTGTTTCCATAAATGTCATCTGTTTTCAGGGTTTGTGAGAAAGATAAGGCCATGGAGAAATACTTTGTACATTTCAGTTAATATAATTGCTGAATAGGTAACTACACTGTTTATATTGTTATGTATTTTCAGTGCTGACAAGGAAAAAATATTACTTCACATACCAGAGGGACAAAGTAAAACTACTGAAAATGATAGCTTTTTCACAATCTAGGATTTAAATATCTACCTTCATATTATCAATAGAATGGATTCTTTCATTTCTCCATACATTATTTAAACTACTAGTAGCGATATTACACTAAACATTAATTTGCTTAGTTTGGGTTTAAGGGTTACATGTGGATCAGGCTCTTGAAATTTTTGAATCATGATTTATGGCTCAGCATAGGTGAACCAGGCCATTATGTATTGCCTTGAAAATCTGACTAAAGCAAACTAATGTAATCTCATCCATTGAGTTATCAAAAGGAATCCAAGAATAGACACCTGTAAAAGTTGCTGGCTGGCTGATTTGGCCCAGACATACTCTTAGCCCAACTAGCCTCAGAGGGTTTTTGTTGTGGGAAAATAGGAAGGAATACAATACTAAGGTATGTTCATCCCCTTGAGTTATTTATAGAAATAATAAAGGGATTAATTTTTTTAAAAAACAACAAAGCCATTGGGTTAACGAAAAATAACTTGGGGTTTACTTTCTGTGATCAACATTTGGTACAACAGAATCTAGTTTGTAACTGAATGAAATAATCTTTCTTCATTTTGAATTAAACCACAGAGAACAGCCAAAGTAATAGTTGTGGTATTCGATGGCAATAAATTAAAGACTGGTGTGATCACTTTATGTTGCGTTATATGCTATTTTGCTGTTGTGGTATGCTCAGGTTAAGTTGTATTAAAATGGGTTAACCATGGATATCAGAATTTCCTTTATTCCTAAAGGGGAAAGCACAAAGGACTGGTGACTATCTGTTCCACATACCAGTATATCCTTAAATTATTTAGAACTATTTCAAAGATACGCCTGGATTCCCAGTGTGACAAGTATCTTCTTTTGCGTTCCTTTTGAGTAGTTCAAAATCGCTTTTCAGTTTATAAAATTGTTCTTAAAAGAAAATCCTGATGGGAAAAGAGAGTTTGCTAAACCATTTTAACAGATAACTTGTTGTTTGGAAATGCAGGTGTCCCCCCAGGGTAGAAGGAAACTTAACAGCACCATTGTAATAAAGTTGCTGTCTATGCTTTAGGACATTGTAATGTATGAAAGGGGTGGAGTTTGTATCAGGACAGTGATGCTGACTTAGTTGTTTTGGTGAAAGTTTTTGATCCTGCAAATCCCTCTGTTTGGAAACAAAAATCCGAGTCTTGTTTTATGTGCAGAATAAGAAAGTAGCACAGGTTTTTGCTTTTTTTTTTCTTCAAAAAAGTGCTTCCCTTTCTAGCCACCAACTTTTTACTAATTTATGTTATTCATAAATAAGAATAGTTGTGGAAATGTCCCATGGGCTTGAGGATATTCAGTAAGGTATTAGTGGATCTTCCTAAATAGCTGGACTTCACTAAACATAGATGGTTCATGTTTATAAAAATAATGTAGTGGTGTATTATGATGTGAGGAGTAGGGAATGCTTTTTTTAAAAAAAACTTAGTTACTGTATGCTGAACACGTGTAGTTCAAATTGTAATGCTGGATGGTTTTGTTAGCGTGCAATGTGTGTGACTCCAACCTTCGTGTCTTTGAGTCTTGAATGAAAACATTTATTGGGTTCACTGGTTCATCTGTCCAAAAAGTTTTCTTTTAATATTTATGAAATATCTTTACTATAAAACAGAAGACAGACATTGATCAGTTTTGCTGATAGGAACAGAAAAAGCTGTAATTCTTTATTCCATGGGTCAAGTATACAATAAAAAGGAAGCATGTTTGCAAGAGAGAAAGAGGCAATGGGACTTCTCTCTCATCAACATATAGTGTTGGAAGCTTTGGAAATCAGAACCAACCTTTTATCTATACTAACAAGAGTCAGACCTGTGACATCCCTTTTCAAATGGAATTTACCTAAGAACGTATGGATTAATGGTATGCCTTTTTTCTTCAAGTGGCTGTTATTTGCAACCATATGCAATGCATGGACTAGTTTCACTCATACTAAGTCATGGTTTAACATTTACAATTAAACTTCAATTAAGAATTTTTTTAAATAAATTGGATTGACATGAAACATGACTCTTATCAGTCATAATATACTGACTAAAGCTCAATCAACCAAACAAATTACAGCATATTCAATGAAAAGTGTGAACCCAGTTATAGAGAGTAGACAATGTGCAGACCTCAAGGATGGAGGAGGAGACAGTTTTGAGCGGTGCCAGTAAAATTACTAATACCCTGCTCAGGAAGTTGTCTTACAACACAGCCTTTGCTGAAAGCAAACAGCAACAACTCATTAATATGGCTGTTACTTTTACTGACTTTTATTATAACTGACAGGGAGAAAAAAAATTGCAGAGAAAATGCCTTTAGCCAACAGAAAGGGGATTATAGGATGAAGAAAAGTTTTTATGTATTGTCATTTTCTTGAGCCTCCCTGTCCTTCGGGGAAAAAGTAGAGGTGTAGCTCTTTTTTAATTCCATGTTGTTGTTGTTGTTCGTCCATTGTTGTCGATGAAGACCTTGACACCATGTTTTATTTTAAATCATGTTAAGACTAGATATGGTGTATCCAAGGATGACGGATCAGGCCAATTCGGGCATAAAATGTTCTCGCTCATGTTAGACATGTATAGGCATTGCAATTGTACTAGTGGCTGTGGTCTTATGCAGCTCACATTATTTTGCATTTTAGCAGCTTGTCCACTGCTTCATAAGTTTGACAGCCCTTGTAGATGAAGCTGTGCCAGGTAGGGCAGTTTTGTGTCAGAGTTTCCCAGGTGGTCCTGTCTATATCAAGTGACTTCAGGGAGATCTTTCTTATGTCTTTGAAATGTTTCTTCTGCTCTTCATGAGAGCAACTTCCAGCAGAGTTCCACTCCAAAAGAGCTGCTTGGATATTCACTCTAGATAAAAATTTCAGTGTCTGGTACTTTCTCTTGCCATCTGATGGCAAAGTCAAGTCAAGTGGAAGAATTCAGAGAAGAACAGTAAGTACAAGAGCATGTAAGGCTTTCAGTTTTGTCACTGAACTGATTCCCTGATGTTCCCACACAACGCAGGGCAATCTCCTGCTTTTCTTTGCTATTCCGCAGTTAACTTCTGCAACAATAGTTACGTGCTCAGGAGAGGGCACTGCCAAGGTAATTAAATTAGTCCATTGGCTGTAGTAAATGCTCTTTGTGATTTTAGGTTCTGTGCATGAGGAGCAAGATGGTGCATGACTTCAGTCTTTTGGATGTTACAGTAAGTTATCACAAGTTGTGGAGAATTTATCGATACTGATTTGCATCTCTGGTTCTGAGCAAGCATCCAAGCCACAGTCATCATAAAAGAGGCAGTCTCTCAGAACAGTCTCCTTCACTTTTGATAGCTTGAAGTTTCCTCAACTTGAAGAGTTTCTCATGCACTCCGTACGTGAGGCTGATTCCAGCCTCTCTATCAGGAAGGCATTATTCAATATGGCAGCAAACATTGTGCTGAACAACGTGGGTGCAAGCACCCAACCAACCCTGTTTGACACCAATGAGTGCAACTTCCTTAAATGATTCCCCCTCATCCAGCACCCATCATGTCATCATAGAACTATCATACTGTCTGAATGAACGACAGCTGAACTTCAGCATGATCTCCCACAAGCCTTGTAACAGGGTCAAAGGATTTTGTGAGATCAGAAAAAGATGTAAAGTTCTCAATTCTGCTCCCGATACTTCTGAAAGTGTGCAGCAAAAATAATGTCAGTAGTTCTGTTACCTTTATGGAAGCCACACTATGAGTCTGGCAGGAGGCCCATCCCTTGAATGAGTGACCAAACGATTTAGCAAGACTCTTACAAGGTTTTTTTTCCCCCCTGCAAAGGAGAGCAGCCAGTAGTTGTCACATACTTGCTAATTGCTCTTCCTTTGGTAGCATTATGTGCATCTTTAAGTTCCTGAGGGATGGATCCTTGCTTCTGGAAAGACTGTAGCAATTTGCTCACTTTCTCTATAAGTAAAGGACCGCTATTTTTGTAGATGTCTAGTGTGGCATCTGCCCTGGAACTTTGCCACTGAATAGCTACCACACCTGCAGAGATCTACAAAGCCAGTGGTCTGTAAGTTCAGCTACTACAAGCTACTATCTATCCAAGGCTGTTGTTGTTGACCTGGGGAATCCTGCCTATTGCCTCATCATTATTAAGATGATAGTTGGTTGAGGATGCTTTTAAGTGTTCAATCAATTTCTGTAGAATCTCAAGACTTCTCTGTAATGAGAATAGTAGCTTCTGTACTCAGGAGGGGGGAACTTTGAAAAACTAAGAACCACTTTAAGTCATTATTGTCTGTGTATCCCTGTATTTTGTCTGCCTTAGCACTCAGCTAGGCATCTTGTATTTTACAGGGTTTATTCTAGACTCCTACAAGCACTGGTAAAGGCATTTTTCTTGGCAACTGATGAAAAGTTATTCTGATAGACATGATGAAGGCGGTGCTTTTCAACAAGTAGAGCCACTATCTCCTCATTGTCATCAAACTTTCATGCTGCTAATGGACAGAAGGTCTCAGAAGTGCAGATGAATAGACAGCATTCCTGAAGTGTGTCCAGTGTGCCTCAGCACTTCCAACAAGGCATAGGTCACCAAGCTTGGTTGCAAAGTCTTCCCAGCCAGTGCTGAAGTCTGCCACACAAA